ATGTTATTAAGACTTTAAAGGCCTGGGCTGGAGGGATTCTCTGTGTAGTCACAGGGACAGGAAGCCAGTAGCATCTCTCCATGAGGACACAGACCACAAGTAGAATGGTGAAGGATCAGAGTTTCTGTCAAGTGTTTTTTTTTTTCTTTTTAAACGTGACTATGATTTAAGATTAAACCCGACCAATAAATTCATGACTAATAATCATTCTCCTCTCTGTAAAAGAAAAATCACCTGGTGTTATTAGGTGGAAAAATTAACTGTAAAGAAAAAAAAAAAGGTTAGATTTATACTTCATATACCAACCAATACCAGCCCTCCTCCCTCCCCTGCATCACAGTTTTTTGGGGAATACACAGCAGATGAAATCTGCCCAGAATACACTCCAGTACATTACAAGAGCGTCTTCTTCTCACTAGAATTTTGTTGCTCTATATTCCCCAGAATCTCAGCTCAAGGATTGTGACATCATCCTCGCCTAAGAACCGCAATTAAGTAAGTAAGATGGGAGTAAGGTATAAATATAACTTTTTTTTTCTCAGTGATGATGCTGCAGCTTTGCTCAATGCTGAAATCGCTGAGCTACAGACACACACCCATCATCACAAGTGTCCTCGCACAGACTCGTATTGCAGAGAAGGGGAGGTAGTTTATGTGATCAGGTCTGTGTGAATTACTGAGAGCAGTAGGTTTTCTGGTGCTTATTAGGCTGCCCATCACACCTGCTATAACAGGCAGGGCCACCCATGGGGGGTTACCACCGGGTCTCCTGTAGGGGGCCCTGACAGCAGAAGGGTCGGTGTGGCGCGATGGAGGGACAATTACAGAATAATTAACTGTCTGTGCCTCTAGAAACTGAAAGACAGTTTCTCCCCCTCTCCTTTTCACCGATTTTAGCTGGTGGAGGGAGAGACACAGTGCATCATTCTGTAATTGTCCTCCCATCTTGCCACACCAATTCCCCCTCCCTGTGCTGCCCATATTTAATTCCCTCCTGTGTGCCCAGGCCCCCTTCCGCAGCACTGCCAGCTTTCCTTCTATCATTGCCTGCTGTGGGTACACAGGTGAATGGAGAGTAGGGAAAGGGGCCGGTAAATATGTTATTTACCAGCCCCTTCCTTTTCTGAATTGGACACAGTGAGCAATCGGTACCGATTGCTCCTGTGTCCATTGATAACTGAGTATAGTAAATTGTGTTTACTATGCTTCAGTTTAAGAATGAGCAAGAGCCTCTGTCTCCTATTCATTCATCTTCAGTGCAGCTGAGGACAGAGAAATGAACTGAAGAAGAAAAAATGTGCAAAACCATTTTAAAAAAATAAATTGTAAAAAATAATTTTTAAAATTAAAAAAAAAAATTAAAAATTGGAAAAATAATAAAAAAAAAATTGTAGTCTTTGTAATTCGGGTGGGGGAATGCTGCCACATAGGCTGTACAGGGCCCTGTGATTTCATTTGTACAATGTTTTCTTTACTTCATATCCACCTATGGGACTTTATATGACTTTAAAGTGCACCTGTGCCCAAGCTATGGACATTAAACATGTTACATATTCCTAACAAGCTTCAAAGTAAGCCATCCCCAACCTCCTTAGTTGCTTTTAAAGCTGAAGACCATGAACAAAAAAATAAGTGAATTTAAATATATATTACATAGCCTCCGTAGATATAAATCCACTAGTGTGCAGCTACTGCCTTTGCAAACCCAGATATTACTTTGTGAAAGCACCAGTAACATCATTATGTCACTCTGCACAAGAAGAGAGAGCTACAGTGACCCGTCTTCAGTAGAGGAAACTCCTGCACAGATGTAAAGTTTCACACTGGATTATTGCACAGATCTGGAAGAAATACACCAGATTCAAGTAAGAATGCACATGCCTCTTGTATTTAGACAATATTTTCTGATCCCGGAGTTCAGCTTTGATGTGCAGTTAATCCTTCATAAGGATCTTCAGAGATCACAACAAAGATTTTAGAGTGAACTTCCAGTCACTTAACAAATTAGAGACAACTACTGTTTGTTTAAATTTGGGGCTTGTCGGCCTTCCAAGATCTTTTTTTCATAGAAAAAAAAAGCAATGTCTTTGTTGAGAAATTTGAAAATTAATTTCTTTCACAATGCTTATAGATACAGAGATGACTGATGTCTTGTTTTATGATGCTTTTGCTGAATTTGTTCAGAAAATGTAAATAATTTAGAGTGCATAATCTAGGCATAGGTTAACTTTATGGTGATCCCTGAGTCCCAATGCAAGTGAACAAAGGTGTTTTGGCTTTGTACACAGGTCCAGAGTTAGCCTATCTGATCTGGGGGTGTGGTTATAAAAAAAAAAAAAAAAAATCAGGAGGCATATAATGGGCAAAACTGTGTAAGTCTCTTGACAGTCTGTCACACAGTGTCACGACCTGGGAAACACTATTATGTATTAGGCCTTTTGCACACGGTACTAATGTTTTGAGCATCTGCTTTTTTTAACATAATTTCAGTTGCTTGTTTTGTGCATACATGCGCATTTGTGCATACAGTATGTCCTTAGGGAAAATTAATATTTATGCTCATATGCACGTATTCGCCATAAATTACTGACTAAAAATGCTGATATTCCGATTTTGTTTACCGAGGAATACGTAGCGTTTATTTACATGCCTGTTTGCAAAGGCACATTGTAAATAATGGGCTACATTTTACCTCGGTAAAAAAAAAAAAAACACTGCATTGAGCTTTTTTCAAGCTGCAGTGTGCAAGAGGCCTTAGGCTGTCTTTAGATTAGGGTGATTAAACAAAACCTGTTCCCCCTTATATCAGATATTCCTATCAGAGTCCCCCTTTACATCAGGAGTCCTCATCAGAGTCCCCCTTTACATTATGACTGTTCATCAGAGTCCCCCTTTACATCAAGTTCCCATCAGAGTGCCCCCTTACATCAGATGTCCCCATCAGAATGCCCCCTTACATCAGTGTGCCTATCTGAGTGATCCATTAGATCACGGTTCCCATAAGAGCACCCCCTTACATCAGTGTCCCCAAAAGAGTTCCCCTTTACACCAATTTTCCTGATCAGAACACCTCCTTACATCAATTTCCCTAATAGAGTCCCCCTTTACATCAATTGCTATCATCAGAGTGCCCCCTTACATCAGGTCCCCATGAAAGTTCCCCCTTATAGCAGATATCCCTATCAGAGTCCCCCTTTACATCAGGAGTCCTCATCAGAGTCCCCCTTTACATCAAGTTCCCATCAGAGTGCCCCCTTACATCAGGTCCCCATGAAAGTTCCCCCTTATATCAGGTGTCTCCATCAGAGTTCCCCCTCATATCAGGTGTCCCCATGGATCAGTGGATGCACTCTGAGACCTGGAGGGGAACAACTGAAAACTGGGAGGGGGAAGCCCACCGCAGCACCCCCTAGATCTGGCCGGATTGTCCATCTGCCATAATAGGACACTTCAAATCTTGATGCGGTTTGTGAAGGGGTGTGGATTTTCCTACACTGGGGGTATAAAGGAAGGGTGATCACATCATCGCCTTTAAAAAACCTTTGATAGTTTCTATGTTCATGTTCTTAGGTTAATAAATGTCATTTAGTCTTTGTTGAACTGTAAAGTAACAAGGTTTCCAATGGGTAATCTGCAATTTCTAAGACAAAATAAATGCTAAGTTTGTAACAGAATTAATTTAGTTGTTTGATTTAACTATTAAAGCGAGGCTATGCAAATTCGTTATTTGCATTGTAAAAGCTAACTTGAAACTCATAATGGTTACAACCCAAAAATGCCAGTCTTTTTATGATCTAGTAATAAAGCAGTTTGTGAACAAAATATGATCTAGTTTTCTTTCCATACAGTGTAGTGGAGAACCCTGCTCATCTATGACTGCTCAGGGATGGATGGGAAGTTCATTGTCCTGTACAGGGAATACTCCTTTCATATTCTCTCTATAATCTAAAATGTAGAAAAGTGAAGCAAGTCTTTCTTTGTGTGTGGCTTATCAAAGAACCCTCCGAATCTCAGGAACCGGGAGGGATACATCCTACTGAGTGTTTTATCTTACAGCTGACTACTGGGGATTGGTCAGATTTCAGGCGCCATAGAACAAAGCTAGTATTATTCCTTAAATCTTCCTCCACTGCTTTATAGCAACTTTCCATTCTACGCTTTGTTGTTGTTTCTTTAATTTATGCAATTACAGTGCGGTAACAGTTCCCAAAACCTGACAATTATATTGCATATTTAACTGTTGCACTGGATTCTAATTCATACCTTAAGCCAATGAAGAAATCTAAGAGTAGCCGAAGCCCTACAGCAAGGAAAGGCTTAAGTCCTGTTATTGTAGTATCTAGGAAGTGTTATCAAGACATACAATGTACTGATTCATTTGTCGTGTTTCAGCATAATCATCACTGTACTACTCTAGTACCAAAGGCAGATTATTTTTTTAAGTCCTACAGACTACCTTTTGTCTGTCTGCTGCTAAGCACTCTTCTCATTAATGGGCTCCTCTGGCTACACAAGATTATCGCACAATGTTGTTTCAAGAAAAGTACATCTGATCGGCTGTTTCCTTAATGTAACCCTTTACATTGCTAATGTTTACAGAATCTGCTGCTAAATAAAACTATTCAGCTTATAAGCAGCTCAGCGGTGCATGATTACTGCCCAAAAATTATGCTGCAGTTTGTCCTCCAAAATCCAGTTATTCTACCATCAAGTGCTGCCATCTAACCCTTCCTGCCACATAGGAAAGGTACCCCCCAGGCACTTCAATTCTTTATGTCCGTTACTGCTCTCTACATACACAATATTGCCAAAAATATTGGGACACCCTTCCAAATAATTAGATCCAGGTGTTCCAATCACTTCCATTGTCACAGGTGTATAAAATCAAGCACCTAGGCATGCAGACTGTTTCTACAAACATTTGTGAAAGAATGGGTCGCTCTCAGGAGCTCAGTGAATTCAAGCGCGGGTACCGTGATAGATTGCCACTTGTATAATAGGTCCATCTGTGAAATTTCCTTGCTACTAAATATTTCACAGTCAACTGTTAGTGGTATGATAACAAAGTGGAAGCAACTGGGAACAACAGCAACTCAGCCACAAAGTGGAAGGCCACCTAAACTGACAGAGCCAGGTTTACGCATGCTGAAGTGCGCAGAAGTCTCCAACTGTCTGTAGTGTCAATAGCTAAAGACCTCCAAACTATATTTTGGCCTTCAGATTAGCACAACAGTGTGTAGAGAGCTTCATGGAATGGGTTTCCATCACTAAGTGCAATGCAAAGCATCAGATGCAGTGGTGTAAAGCATGCTGACACTGGACTCTAGAGCAGTGGAGATGTGTTCTCTGGATTGATGAATCACACTTCTGGCAATCTGATGGACGTGTCTGGGTTTGGCGGTTGCCAGAAGAACGGTACTTGCCTGACTGCATTGTGCCAAGTGTAAGGTTTGGTGGAGGGGGGATTATGGTGTGCGGTTGTTTTTTCAGGGGTTGGGCTTGGCCCCTTAGTTCCAGTAAAGGAAACTCTTAAGGCGTCAGCATAAGACATTTTGGACAATTTCAAGCTCCCAGCTTTGTGGGAACAGTTTGGGGATGGCCCCTTAATGTTCCAACATGACTGTGCATCAGTGCACAAAGCAAGGTCAATAAAGACATGGATGAGCAAATTTGGAGTGGAGGAACTTGATTGCCCTGCACAGAGTCCTGACCTCAACCTGATAGAACACCTTTGGGATGAATTAGAGTGGAGACTGCGAGCCAGGCCTTCTCATCTGACATCAGTGCCTGCCCTCACAAATATGCTTCTGGAAGAATGGTCAAACATTCCCATAGACACACTCTAAACCTTGGACAGCCTTCCCAGAAGAGTTGAAGCTGTTATAGCTGCAAAGGGTGGGCCAACTCAATATTGAACCCTATGGACTAAGACTGGGGTGCCAGGAGGAGTAGTTAGAGGTGGGAAAGAAGTTTCAGCAACTGATGATAAACAATATCCTTATTATCTAATAACCAACAACTACTTAATTGCTCTGTGATCTGTTTTTCATTAACCTGTTTCTTACTGTGTTTTTCTGCCTCTTTGTAAAGTTCTCTGTGAGCTCCCAAATCTCTTCTGTTCTCCCTCGCTTCTTGTTTGCAATGAGCAGTGCATGTTAGTAGCAGTCGTGGTCTATGCACACTACACTATTGCATAGTCCAGTGGTCGGCAAGCCGCGGCTCGCGAGCCACATGCGCTCTTTGCACACTTTAATGCGGCTCTTCTGTGTGCCGGGCGCCCGCTCCCCTCCCTCCTCTCGGACGGCCGCCCCAAAAGTCAGGACTCTGCAGCTAGCCCAGCAATGGGCAAACTACGGCCCGCATACGGCCCTTTTAATCCGGCCCGCGGAGCGTGGCAAACATTGGCTGTCAGGATGTAGGCGGGGTAGCGTGACGAACTCCTCTCCTCTCACAGTCCGCCCTGAAGACCGGAACAGCGCGGGAACACGGCGAGAGGAACGCGCGGAGCAAAGGTAAGTGAATTGACACAATATGGGGAATGAATTACTATAGGGGGGGATGAATTACTATAGGGGGGGGATGAATTACTATATGGGGGATGAATTACTATGGGGGATGAATTACTATATGGGGGATGAATTACTATGGGGGATGAATTACTATATGGGGGATGAATTACTATGGGGGATGAATTACTATAGGGGATGAATTACTATATGGGGGAATTATATGGGGGATGAATTACTATATGGGGGATGAATTACTATATGGGGGATGAATTACTATATGGGGGATGAATTACTTTATGGGGGATGAATTACTATATGGGGATGAATTACTATATGGGGGATGAATTACTATATGGGGGACGAATTACTATGGGGGATGAATTACTATATGGGGGATGAATTACTATATGGGGGATGAATTACTATGGGGGATGAATTACTATATGGGGGATGAATTACTATATGGGGGATGAATTACTATGGGGGATGAATTACTATATGGGGGATTAATTACTATGGGGGATTAATTACTCTGGGGGATGAATTACTATATGGGGGATGTATTTTCAGTTTAAAAATGTGGCTCTCAAAATAAATTTCAATCGTGGTTTTGACGAGATTTGGCTCAGTTGAAAAAAAAGGTTGCCCACCACTGGCATAGTCTATCTCAGGAGTGAGCAAGAGAGGGTGGCTACATTCCTACTTACACAGGTACCATGGAGAACAAATATAGCCACCCTCTAACAGGAAGTCAGATCACAGCAGCAAAAAAAAAAGAGGAATTTGGAGGAGGCTGAGAGCAATAGAACGTACTTTTCTGAAAGGAGAAGTATGGCCAAAGCTATTTTAGCTCTACTCCTATGGATTACAGGTGTACACTTCGTTCTGCACTCTTGCTGTTGGCTCACGTCACTCAGCCGGTCCAGACTCTCTAAAGATCAAGACTTTAGGGTCAGGATCCACCCAGATGCCTTTGACCGACAGCTGGCTCAGCCTCTCAGTGAACCACTGAGAGCCTGATCCAACCGCTCCTAGCCTCTCCTCAGCCTGGCACTCCAGTGAGTGCTGGAGGGGCAGAGCAGATAGCCAGAGACTGATAGTCACCAACTCTCTGCTTACTGAAGACCAAGAACTGAGCGATTAGTGGACTTGTTCTAAGGGCTCATGTACACTGCAGCTGATAAACTCACGTTTAGGAGCTGTTCAGTGTTTTTTTCAGCAGCCCCTGAACTCAGCCTAATGTTTTCCTATGTGTCCATGTACACATCATCGTTTACAGTCATTTACAGGCATTTGAGTTTACAGTCGTTTTTTTTAATGCACCAAACTTGCGTTCAGCAGTCAATTTTATCAGCGTTTCAAATGCAAAACGCGTGTTAACACGGCAAATCATGTTTATAAGCGTTTGCGGTTGAAATTTTTTTTAACTCTTCCAGTTCCCAATGCTGTCCAGAGCCTTTTTTCATCATGAAAAATGCCTACAAAGCGTTTTCAAGGTGCTCAGATGGACAAAACACTTAACACAGGATGTTCCTATCAAGTTTGTCACTCATGGTAATTACCAACTTTACACCTCAGACCTCTCCCACCCTTGGAAACAAAATATATGTTAATGACCAGTCACACCTCAAATTCTTCATGAAGACCCCCTGCCAGATGACCTTAATGACTCACTCCACCAGACTCCTTTCCCACCCTTGGAAACAAAAGAAATGTTAATGAGCAACTCACACCTAGCTAATCTCAACACATACTGCTCTCTCTTCTGCTTCTACTCTCTGTATTTCTCTGAAACAGTGCATTCTGGGCATTTGGGAGGTTCTCCTGTACTGGTCTTTAAAAAAACGCGCATAAACACGTTATGCAAATGCATCTAAACAGCCGTTTTTTAACCTATGTTTTCCAGCAGTCAGTTTCCATCATTCAAAAGTGTCCCGTGTTCATGGGGCCTTAGAGCCAGCGGGGGACAGATGTAGCATCAGAGTGATGCTGCACCACCTAGGTGCGTATAAATTTTGTTTTTTTTTTTAAAACCAACCTTCTATTTTAATAAGACATACTTAAAGTGTTACGAAACCCAAGACCCTGCATTCACTATATCTGGTCTCCCCACAGGACACAGAAACATGGAAGTGCAATTATTTTAGTAAATACAAACTGCTAAATACCTTTTCTAATCAGCAGTTAGAGCAGTCTTGTGACTTCTATCAGTGTTCAGCAGAGCACATTGGATAAAGCTTGTAGGAGGAGTTTTCTTTCTACACTAGGAGGATGCAGAACCCCTGATCTCTGTCTGGACAGTGCTGATTGGCCCTGTGCTGATCACATGCACTCTCCCAAGAAAAGAAAAAAACCCTGTCTAGCAATACACACCAAACTGAGCATGTGCAGAATGCCTCCACACGATATGTCTTATCAGGTAATAAGAGGGGGGCACTGAAAGAAGGGGAGGGTCAGAGAAGTCAGGATCCAAACAGCCTTTTTACCCAATGCAGAGGATTAACCCCTTAGGTTCCACAGTGAGTATAACAAGCATGCTTTACTGCATATACAGACTGATTTTACTGTTGTGGGTTTAGTAATACTTTAAATAGAATATTTTATTAAACTAAAATTTAGTGTCATGGACAAAAAGTAATAATTTGCATACAAGGCCACAGCACTGGCTATTCTTCTTAGGTTGCACAATTTATTTATTTCAGGTACTTATATAGCGTCGTCAATTTACGCAGCACTTTACATATATATTGTACATTCACATCAGTCCCTAACCCTCAAGGGGTGTACAATCTAAGGTCCCTAACTTACATTCATACATACACATACTAGGGTCAATTTAGACATGAGTCAATTAACCTACCAGCATGTCTGTGGAGTGTGGGGGGGAGGAAACCGAAGTACCCGGAGGAAACCCACGCAGGCACAGGGAGAACATGCAAACTCCAGGCAGGTGGCACCGTGATTGGGATTCGAACCAACAACCCTAGTACTGCCAGGCAGAAGTGCTAACCACTTAGCCACTGTGCTGCCCAGGGAAAGAATCCCTTCCAAAATGCTAAAAGGGCAGAATATGAAGATACCACTATGTTTACATGCTTAGAGAATGGAAAAGTGTAAATACACAGTGTAGACAAACAGTAACCAATCAGAGTGGTTCCCAGTCATGTGATCACTATTAGTTATGACACACTGACGGGCGGACTGGCAACTCATGGGGCCCCCGGGCAATAGGGGATCATGGTGCCCCTGTGTCCTTGCCCAAACTCAAAAAAGCCTATGAAAAAGGTACCAGGGGCATCTCATGGGGCCCCCTACTGACCTCGGGCCCTCGGGCAGTGCCCGAGTTTCCAAATGGTCAGTCTGCCCCTGCACACTGATTACACACAGGCTGGAGGCTTTCAGTCTGCAGATGAACACTGCCACCTTCAGGCTGAGGTGGCATCTGCAGTGTCATTAGTTTTATACTGTATTTGTTTGAGGTGATTTATACTGTATTTGTGAAATAATAAAAAATCCATTACACATAACACATACCTCCAGTGGTCCAAGATTGCAAAGGGCTCTCCTGGAGCTTTGGTGGAATCCTTGCATCCCATGCAAAACCAACTGTCTGAATACTCATTCCAGCATCCAGCTCCAGCTCTGTGCACAAACTGTCCAACAGTGTAATCTCCTGTATGACAGTATGTGCATAAATGCCAGCAGAAGAAGATGGAGGGAGGGCATAACACAGTACACACACTCAGGGGCAGACTGACAACT